CAACCTTAAATGTTTTTATAAAATAGTGAAAATGGTGCAATACACAAATGTTTTGTTGGTGTAAAGCATGACAAGTGTTGTGTCACAGGTTGCTTTCAGGAAGTATAGGAATATATCGGCAAGATACGTGTAGTTACTATAATAATATATATACTTTTTCATCATTTGTCAATATAAAGATAAACAGACATCTGCTAGTTTTATACAATGAATTCTGTACCGTAGGTCAGTGTGTTGTAAACTTAACAATGATGAGAAGTTTGTCTCATTATACAATGAATTCTGTACCGTAGGTCAGTGTGTTGTAAACTTAACAATGATGAGAAGTTTGTCTCATTATACAATGAATTCTGTACCGTAGGTCAGTGTGTTGTAAACTTAACAATGATGAGAAGTTTGTCTCATTATACAATGAATTCTGTACCGTAGGTCAGTATGTTGTAAACTTAACAATGATGAGAAGTTTGTCTCATTATACAATGAATTCTGTACCGTAGGTCAGTGTGTTGTAAACTTAACAATGATGAGAAGTTTGTCTCATCTCGGAAACAAATTGTGAATACTTACCTGTAAGAACTCCAACTTCTTTTCTTTTTCAGCTTTGATAAATAAAATCTTTTGGAGATCCATTTTACTGCACTCTTCTTATTCAGGTTTCCATAAAATGTAATAATTCATTTCAATGATCCTTAACGAGAACTTGTGATATGTGCATACTTAATCTTTTTTCTCGTTTAGTCAATTAGGTGGTATGTTTGATGAAATTGAACATGCCACTTTCGTGATGTAAAAATATATACTTCCTTTGTGTGTGTTTTTTTACGAAAAATGGATTTTAACGCTGTTGGAATATTCATATTTTCAGCATTTATACTGCTTAGCTTATACATGATCCAGTGCAAGTAAAATGACATATAACTCAACAGCAAACAAAGAACCCATAGAGGGGATCCTGTGAGCAACCACAGAACAGCAGCAAACCATGGCAGAGCCTACAGATTTATCTGATTTGAAACCACCTGTAAAAAATGGGCACAGAAGATTGGTTCGAAAGGTGTTCATTAAGGAGAAGACATGACTTCCAGTGACGAGTATCACACATAACTCAAAGAAATGTCATATATGGGATAGTGAAAAGCCACTGTAGAATGGGCTGATCGTGGGATTTTACAATGCCATCCAATGTTAGTCCCATTTCAGTCACTGTGGCTGAAGATGAAAGCCAAATCTAGGAATAGCAAACCATCCATCTGCAAAAAGTACAACACACCAAGGCATGAAAACACAATACCAGGTATTATGCTGCAGTAAGAAACAGAGTTTCGTGGAATATTTCAAAAAAGGTTGCAAATGCCAGACGTAAAGAGGAGGTTCATACGACTTGGTGTACAAACTCTGGACTGGAAAATTGCTGAAATCTTCTCAGGCAGAGCTGAATTTCCTGATGATGTACAGGGTTTAACATCCTCAAGGCAGAGTTCCCGCTGAACCATAGACCAAAAACCCATATCATACCTTAGATCGAGTGAAGGCACAATAGATCTTCAGCATAGAATACCTATCCACTCTTCAAAAAATAGAAGAGGACATGGGGGATGTTCAGTGCCCTAGTAAACTTGAGCAAAGCTGCTTAATCTCCATAATATATGTCAGCTTATTGGAAAAGAGAAGTTCCAAAAACTTTTGTCTCATTCACTACAGGAAGTACAACACCTCTTGGGTAGAGCTTCCGATCAGTGTGCAATTCTTGTTGGTGACAATAATGCACCCAAACGGTTTTAGAAGGGAATGTGAAACCATTGGCTGTGGTCCATTCAGGAGGCCACTCAATATACTTCAGGAAATCTAAAAGCTATCTACATAGAGACTGTTTGAAGCTGTAAGAGGAAGAAAATGTGGCACTCAAGATTCAATTCTGATGGACTAAAATAGATCAAAATAATATGCTACCTCTTAAGGAAGGCTTCCCTGATTGATGTTTCAAGTCAAATCAGGTGGTTCATGGTGGAATGCTGTCTTGGGAAACCACACTGGGTAGGAGAGAGGAGGTTGTTTGATTCAATGAATCAAGCAAGACAAGCATTAACCATCCTATCCAAAACTTTACAGAGAAAGCTAGTCAAAGCAATACATCAATAATTAAAAGTAACATTGGGAACCTTCCCAGGCTTAGAAAATTGGATAACAAAAGCCTTATGCCATTGGATCTGATAAAACCTTCTACTGCCAAATCTGGTTAAGAACAATCAGAAGAATGCTCTAGAGTAGAATGGTAAGAAAAGTCCTCACCAAGGATGTCAGCAATTTTCAGTAAAATCAGCAACCCCTTTACATTGGATTGCAAGAGCGAAATAGGTTGGGAAGTATACTTCCCAATAACCTTTGAAATCTTATCCCAATTGACTGAAAGTGAGCTAAGTCAAAGTTTCCTACTAACTTTGACATCTGACTTGCTGAACATAGGCATAAGCCTGCTTAACGACCTTGTGGTAATGAAGAGTGAGATATTTGTGGAAGATATCCTAAGTCTGTTTCTGAGCCTTGTGTGTCCATTGGCAGTTAGGAGTCCACCATGGACGAGGATACAGTGGCAAACGTATCGAGGTTTTAAGGACTGGGCAAACAGCTGCTTTAACAATATAATCAGTTACTTCCTCCTTGCAGTCACTAATTGAGTGGAAATTAATAACAGTAGATTTACTCCAATAGAGTTGTGAAAGGGAGCTAGTCAGCCTGTTCTAGTTTCAACTATGGCACACGAATCAGGTGGCATCAATCATGGCCTACTTTTCTCAGAATGATAGGAAAACAATCACTGCCTCGGGGATTATTGACTATCCTCCATGAAAAGCAAGGAAGGGAAACAAATGAATGGATTAATGACAGTAAAAGACTGACTTGGGGCATGAAAATATGCATACTATCCAGTATTGAAGAGAAAGGGGTTATGATCTGAGAGCATACACTTCACAGCTCGACCCCTCCCATGAATATCTGAACCATCCTAGAGGAAACTGTATCAATTAAAGTCTCCCACAAAGAAGGGAGATGGTAACTGCTCGATAAAATCTTTATTGTCCATTTTATCAAACTCTTCTGGTGACAGGTAAAGAGAAAAATTGTGTTTGTATGACTAATGGATACATAGATGGCAACAGCCTTCAGTGGCATAGTGAGAGGTACAGTTGTGAAGGGTGCATGCTGATCAATCAGCAATGCCACACCACGAACTCAGCCATCACAAAACTGTGCAAGGGGCATCTCTTGTAAGGAGATACAGGATGATAAGAATTGATTAAGGCCTTAATGTCAGCTAAATTATAATGTAAGTCTCTACAATTCTACCATATCAGTGTAGTCATATTCATCTAGATGGTGTAGGAGATCTAGACGGAGTCTTTTTTTATGACCCCTCTTTTCTGTTAAGTATAAAAAAGTCAATCAAAATCCATGGATCCTTCAATTTGTCTACTTTTTGCATGTTATAAGTAATAATAATATAATTAAAAGAGTTCACGAGGCATGCACGCGAGCAACTTATAATGGTGCAGATAGTAGTTATACATGGTTCATAGGGCAATAAAACAATAAAATTTAATTATAAATAGATGTATAATGCTACGAACTTAGAGCTAGTTAAGATAAACGAATGTAGTTTCATGTTACAATTTGAAGTCATTCTAGAAAAAAAAAGTTAATTTAGGTTTATTTCGATTTTTTTTATTATTAAGAGGTCGGTGGAATTGACTGATCCTGTTTTGAGATAAGGTAGAAAAAATAACAGATAAACTATAAAGTTTTACAGAAAAGTATTTTTCATTTTAACATGAAAATTACTTTGCACACGGACTATTCAAAACAAATACTCAATATATTCATGGACAAATCGTCATTTTATTTTATTAAAAATACTTCACTAAAAATATTATTTTTGTATGTGAAAGACTTATGAGCCGAACTGCCAAATTTTATGAAGATATGCACACTATATTGAAAGTTAAAGTTATTAAATCTACAAAGACTTTAATTGAGTACAAAGAGGTCAAATTGACCAAGCCTGTGTTGAGAGAATTAAATCTTCCAACATGATAATGCTCCATGTCACAAAGCAAGGATTGTGAATCCGTGGTTTGAAGAGAATAACATCGGAACATTGCAGTAGCTAGAACAGAGCCCTGACCTCAACCTGATAGAATATCTTTGGGATGAACTGGAACGCAGAATTACGGCAAGACGGCCCTCTTCAATAGCGGAGCTTACTAATGCTTTAAAGGAGGAATGGAGCACAATACCACCAGCTTTCTACTAGAAATTAGTAGACAGTCTTTTATGATGCATTGAAGCAGTCATTAAGGCCAAAGACTGGCCAACACACTATTAATTTCTTTGAATAAAGTCATGTTTTATTCAGATACCCATGTTCCATGACTTTTGGTAGGATAATGTAAGTTCTGTTGTTTCTTTAATATAAAGTATTGGAAGACAGGTCATGAGAGTAAGAACTGGTAAGTCTAGTCAGATTAAAGTATTCATCTTCTCTCTTTAGGTTCACACTGTCTATGGCTTACAACACATCTATATTCCTTCAGCACATATAAACAATGTCTCAATAACATGACTTCAATGTTAATCTCATAACCCATTGAGCAGGCAATATGACAAAACATTATTGATCATAATTACAGAGGCGACTGGCTATACGGAGCAATTTGCAATTCCTATGGTGTCAAGCATGATTATAATTAATTATACTTCACATATGACACTAGTATTAGGCCATTATATTCCTTAATACTAAATTCCTTCTCTTGTCCTCCTGGGCATTTTTAAGAATTAGAAAACTGTATAATAATAATAATATTTCAAGCACAAAAGGCAAACAAACTTAAGTACAGGTTTAAGAATATTCATGTGTGTAACATCTACAGCAAAAACAAATAGGTAAGCATTCAAAACAGATATGTAGTGCATTGCCATCAAATAATGTTTCATGCAATGAGTTGATAAAAAACACACATTTTTTTATTTATGAAAAAAAAAAATACATAATCTGCATAATTTTTTCTTGAAGAACTTGCAAGAATATTACTTTACATGAATCAGTGTGATTTCAGTAAAAACTTGACAGAACTGATTTTTTTAGAAATACAATAATTCATGATGAACAATGAAGACAACATTTTTTGTCAATATGTCCTTGACATTCACAGCTTTCAGAACGCATTTGTCGTAAGGCCTGGAACAAGAAGAATAACAATAGTTTCAGTATCATGTATTAAAGATTAATTTTTAAAGTTCATCCTGAAATAATTATAAGTAGAAAGCAAGAAAAGTAAGTAGTTATAAAGTACATTCGTGAAAAAATAACTTTATTCAACAGTAAAGTATTATTTAATGGTTGAAATAACCTTGTTAGACAGTACTTGAAATATTAACATGAAACATGTGTTAAGAGTTAGGAGACAATTAACATTATAGAAGGGTAAAGATGAAAACAAAATATATTTAATAAACAAGTTTAATCTAAAATAAAATTGGTGACACATTAAGAATACAGTTAGATGGGATATCTATTCATGTGTCTAGACTTTCCACCTGTAAGAGTACAGACATATACAACAAGCTACTCAAAGGATTACAGCTATGCTCCATCAAGTGATATAATTGAACATTGAAACATAAATATTCACATGGCTACAAGTTACTTATATGGATGAAAATTTCTACATCGAAATAATAAGGCTTAGAGACAGCAAAGTGATGGTCAAAGTACAAATTAGGGACACTAGTAAACTTGTGATGAGAAGTCTCATCCATGAAGTTATCCTTGGTCCAAAGGCAGTGATAACCTACATCTGATCCAGTTCTTGCAAAATTATTAAAAATCTTCAAAGACGAATAGTCCAGCCCTTATTTAACAGCAATTCTTGTGATTACCAATAACTTTCATCCAGTTCACATACAAATCAGAACCCAAAACTTCCTAATAGCTAGAGTAAAATTATAGTGATTCAGCCCTGCCAGTCATCACAGCCATGTCTTCTCCTGTGAACCAAATCTCTACTACCCAGTAAGCATTTTCTTTTACATGGTTTTAATGTCTTAAAACGATTTTGTTAATCTTTTATTATGAAATGTTTTAAGTAATGAGTACCAGAGGATACTTAAAAGTATAAAGTTACTAACACAATGTAGAAAAGGGGAATCTTAATAAATATTTTATCTATTATTGAAACCTAAGCCACTGCCTCATTTCCTTATTATCACATAAATCTCCTGGAGTTGGTGATCTGTGCACTTTCATCACAGACTGCATCTTCTGGTATTTAAATATAAATTCTATTTGTAACATGGTAGTTGTCTTACAATAGTGCCTGTTATAATCCTGCTAATAACTAATGTAACTTTAATAAATTAAGAGAAGACTTATCTTGTTAGTGTCCTCTGAGGCTACAGTAATGACAGTTTGTCACCCAAGAATTGTTTAGCTACAAACAAAATCCAATATCGAATCATGTACTGGTAATAAAACTGCTGTATTATAAAAAAGAAAATAAGATAAGAAATCCAAATTTTGTACCTAAATGGTACACCTTATGCACATGAGTGTTAAATGGATAAGTCAAAGACTCCCTATAATAAATTCAGGTACTTCCCCTCACAACCTGAAATACTAATTACACAGGCTTGCAATGGTTTATCTTGAAATTTTTACATGTCCTACAGTAATTCCTGTACACCAAATCCGAAAATTATATCCATTTTTCTCCATCGCACACAGATTTTTCACAAACCGTCATATGTATTTACATAGGTAAATCATTTTCATTGAAATCGAATCACACTTTGTTATGCTTAAAATGGTGACAACCACTGGCTACAGATTTCTCTATACCAATTGCAAAGTGAGAGTCTGATCAGTTATTCTAGAAGCCATGAGAAACACACCACTAGTATATAAATGGTTAACAGGCCACATGAAGTGTCACTTCTGGATAATATTTGTTTATGCGTGCACTTGACATTATTATTTTCTTTTCAATATTATTTATTCATCACTATGGCAACAAGAGGTTGTGTAAATGACCAAAAAAAAAATTCTGTTATACTTGTGGTAAAGTTGTTGTAAAGAAACAAAGGCAAAACGTTACAGAATTCCTCAAAAAAAAGTATACTATGTGTATTTTGAAATAAAACTTGGGGACCAAGACAAATCATGGGCTCCACACAAAGTTTGCACCATTTGTGTCTAAGAGTTGAGACAATGGACTAAAGGCAAGAGAACGTCTTTGCCTTTTGGAATTCCAATGGTCTGGCATGTGCCTAGAAACCACAGAGATAACTGCTATTTTTGCTCATGTACTGTGCAAGGCTACAACATTTGAAATAAAAAGGAAATTTCATATCCAAACCTTCAATCTGCTATAAGACCTGTTGCTCATGGACCTGATGTACCTGTACCTACTCCACCAGAGACTCTTGAAACAGTTTCATCTGATTCTGAATCTGATGTCAATAGAATAGATGATAGGGATTGTTTTCAATCTGAAACGTCTAGTGAACCACAACTTTTCACACAAGGTGAACTTAATCATTTTGTGAGAGATCTGGCCCTTCCAAAGGATTCTTCAGAGATTTGAGGGTCCAGACTTTGGGCTAAGAACTTCATTTCTCTAGGGACATCATTTTAATGGTACAGAAATCATGAGAAAGAGTTTAACCATACATTTCGCAAGATGGTTCACTGGCTTATGGCAACAAAAAAGCTGAATTAATACCAATGCTAGGAGCTGCAGTCTATGAACCAAGTGAGTAGTGATTGTTCAATGACTCTTCCAAAAGAAGTCTAAAATGTGTTCTCCTTCACAATGGTAACATATATGCATCTGTTTCTATTGCTCATTCAGTTCACTTGAAGGAAATCTTGAACTTCTTAATAAGATACAAAGAACATGGTTGGCTACTTTGTGGAGACTTAAAAGTTACTTTTATGTTGTTGGGTCAGCAATCCAGTTATACAAAGTTTCCATGTTTTTTGTGTGAATAGGACAGCAGACCACAAAATAAAGAAGCAATGGCCACATAGAGTCAGCCTGATGCCAGGATCGAAAAACACTGAACATTAAAATTTTGTTGATAAAAAGAAAGTCCTATTACCTCCATATCACATAAAACTGGGCTTTAAGCAGTCTGTAAAGGCCTTAGACAAAGATGGCGACTGTTTCAAGTATCTATGTGGGTAATTCTCAGCTCTTTCAAAAGCAAAACTTAAAGAAGGTATTTTTGTTGGGCCTCAGATTAGGAAATTGACTTCAGATGAACAAGAACATTAAAAAAGAAGCATGGATTGCCTTTAAAGACGTTATTGACAATTTTTTAGAAAACAACAAAGTCTCAAGTTATGAAAATATTGTCAATAATATGCTCAATAAATTCAATGAGTTGGGTTGTAATATGAGCTTGAAAGTTCATTTCTTACATTCACACAGGAACAACGAGAGCTAGTACGGTCCCCAGGGCAAACATTCATGCTGGGCCCCCTTTCTCTCTCTCTTTTTTAACATTTTCAAGAATTTATTAAAAAACGATCCTAAATTAGGACAGCAATGAGCTCATAAACCAGACAAAATCATAGCAGTAGCCATTTTTACCTTATAGTATAAGCATAAAAACGTCAATAAAGTAACAACAAATATCTGTTAAATCTATAAAGTCACAAATACATATTAATTATTACTCAAATTATTATTTCAGTAGTTCTTAATGTATGAAGCATCTATATGCAAAGAAATGCCCAAAACTATGGTTCTTATCATTAAATGAAGATATAGCCTAAAGATGCTTTGCGGGCTTTACGGCATAACCAGGTTTCATTCGCCCGGGCCCCTGAGCAGTTGCCACCTCTATCATTAAAAATAACACAACATTTATGAAGTTCAAATTTGCAGGCCTGTGTTAATAGGCCATACTGCCAAAACAAGACAGGTTTTACTTACCCAGAAAAAGGTTTAAAAACATGAAATGTCTGTGTGTATATGCATTAAGAATTAAATGACACAAATCATCAATCCTTAAGTAAAGAGCCAAGTAAGGTTTCTTACAACTTTTTAACATAATGGATATAATAGTAAAATATAAAGGATAAGTTTTGTCCAAAAATGTTTGATAGTTTCATAAGACTTCTCTAGAATGTACCTGATAGTAACCGGTATGGTATCCACTCATATACCATGACATCAGCATTGAAGCTAGAGCTTCATCATCTGTGACACCTTCATCATCCAAAGGAAAAGGGGGTGGTGGTGGAATATCTGGAATCTTAAACATGTAAAATATTAAGCTACAAGCAAAAGTACACAACTCCAGTGACAGGAATAGTTTAAGTTACTCTATCAATTTAAATTATTTCATGGACTTTAAAAAGGTTAGTTGTTGCACTCTTTGTTCCACTCAGAGCCAAAGCTCTGAGCTACCTATATCACCCACCATGAAAAGTAATTGTTAAGCATTTCAGTCCTGCCGAAAGCCGCTCAACAATAACAATTTACATTTTCATTCTTTAAGTTATGTAACATTTTGTAATGTGAAAAATAATGTTATTAATTCCTGACAATTTAGTGTAGAATATACTGCTTGCAAAATAAGATTTGGTATCAACATTATTGTTCTCCTGTCATTTCAAAAGTCAATGTTGATCTTTGCTTTTGTGTGCAGATTTTAAACAGAAGACAGATGAACATTAAGACAGAAAATATTGTTCATATACTTACTAAATAGTAGTAGCTAGTATTGGCTTAAAAAATTCATATAATCTAATTAGTATATATATGAAACAACAAGGTCACATGACAAGAGATTGCTTAAGGCTTACTACAGGTATTTTACTATTGTTTGGTTCTTTGTTTAAAATTATGGTGTTTTTACTTTCTAATAGATATACTATAGTTTTATTGAGTTGCAATATTTATAAACACAAGTTTTTTTTATAACGTTCACCAAGTAGAGGAAAATCATCTTTAAATCAGACAAGTTTACCATTCAATGTATAATCGGCAATTACAAGATATTCTGATGACTCAAATCTTTACTGAATATTATTGTCATGTTAATCCTATTCAAACAACATAAATGAATAAATACATTATTACCCTTACTTGTGAAAGGAAAACATGTTTTCAATATTTAACTATTACTTTATTTAATTTACAGAAGAGTTAGAATTACTATATGTTAGAAATACAAACATAATGGTAATCTCATAGTGGTAATTAGTCGATATTAGTAATAAATTTGCTATGTAGGAAATGCTCATAAAACTTGTAGCAAACTTCTTTCTAGAAAAAAAGTACATTTTTTGAAAAATGCACAAATGATGACATTCAGAAGAGGTCTATTATACAAAAACAACAGTAATCCAAAAATATTTTAAGAAAAATCAAAACAATGTGAATGAAAATAGGAAGTTTAATATTATGGTAGGATAAAGCATTGTTGAAAAATGTTATGAAGATAGTTTAGATAGTTTTATTTTGGTTGCACAGATTGTAGGGAGCATGCATTTATTGATTAATCAAATGCAATCGATTAATGAGCCCATTAATTAATAGATTAACAAATGCCATTCATCAAACAGCTCTAGTCATGTTGTCAGGGTTTTAATATGAATAGAGGTCAGTGTTTTTGACTTGTTGGCAATAAATCTGAACAATAAACAGATGGCACACAATCCACTTGTTTTAAAATTATATGTTCAAAACAAGTCAAATGTATGAACAAAAAATTCTTTGCACTATAGGAAATCACAAAAAAGTCCACAAAAGCTGATTCAATGTTGGATAGTGTACATTGGACTTATATTAATATTTTTTTAAAGCAAGTGGGTTGTGTGCTGTTTGTTTATTAATGAAATTTACTGCCAACAAATCAGACACCTCTGTACAAAATCTGACCATTACATACTTAAAACCTGACATATATCTTATTCATTAAATGAGCATTGAATTGAAGAAAGATGGTCACAAATTCATATAACTGATGTTTGGAAAAGTGACTACTCAAATGAAAGGATCAATTTAAATGACAGTTTAGGACACAGATACTGTTCACTGATTGCTAAGTAATTGATATCTTTGTACATTATATTGTAAACTTCACTAATATAATTATTAAGAAAATATTTAGAAATTATGACAAAAGTGTATAAACAATGATGTTCACCACAGTGATGCCATATATAAACTTTTCTGTTATTTGCCTGAAAAAAATTGCAAACTGTGGGATAACCTTGTAAGGTAGTAACTTAAATAACATTACATGCTATTAAAAACAAATGAATGATTCAGTACAGTGTATATGGACTTACAAACGATGAAGATGGCCCATGGAGTTGATTAGTACATTGCCGAGCTGGACTGAAACCCTGTATATACAATGGAATAAAAATTAAATATCAATTTTATAGATATATAACTAAAAAGTAGTGGCAATCTAAATAAAAAAGGTAATGAAAAAAATTACCTTGACTTACAATGAGCTTTATTACAATAAAAACCAACTTATACAAATTTACAGAAATTTTTTTCTTGTTATGATTTTAATTTAGATGCTTTGTATTGTGTGATGCCTAGAAATTTTCTGAGTGCCTATAGTTGCAGTGATTTGCACACACCAACTTCAGTTTTCTGAAGACTTGGGAAAAAACACATATTGTAATATAAAAACATGTATGACTCAGTTACTTAATGCATGAGTTAGTTGGTAAGTTAGTTAGTAAGTCTATTACCATGTTATTGATCGATTATTCAATTAGTGGATAGGTCTGACAGTGAGATTTGATTAAGTTCCATAGATAGGAAAGTTTATCTTATATGTGAGTTAGGTCTATCCCTTTGTTATTGTTAGTTCATGAAACTATGTGAGTTGTAAAGCTTTCAGTTGAAGAAAGAAATCACTTTCTTTTTCTGTAAGTGGACTGGAATTTGCAATATTTTAACTAAATAATAAAAAAAACACACAACAATAGAATCGAGACTTCAAATTCAAGATGACAGTGTATGCTTGAACCAAGATTTAAAATATGTTTGAAATGATGAAACAGTGTAAAGAAGAAAAAGACAGAGCATAAACAAGATCTATAAGAAAATGAACAGGAAATCAGAATAAAGACAGAGAAAATTAGAATAAAAAGAGAGAAGATTATAAGATCAAGAGGTAAGACTTAGGAGGTAAAAAAAAAAAAGACATAAAATAAAAAGAATTAAGAACAAAAATAAATTTGATTGAAGAGGGTATTGGAGTTGTGCAGGAGGATAAAAAGAGCAAAACTGAAGTAAAAAAATACTTCAATGAAGTTAAAAAGGATTATAACACTATGATCAAAGAAGCCACAAGAAACATACAGAAGGATATCAACTTCAACAAAAGATGCTCATAAACTTGCAAATGCAAGGATAAAACCAGCCACACTTCTTTCTGCATCCATTCAAACAACATTAGCTATGAAATATGGGCTACATTTGTTACTACCACTGCTTTGCTACCTACAACTGATGAACTTTCCTGGATTACTCCAATTATATCACTACCTAATCCAGTTCAAGAATTTAGCTGATCAGTTCTGAAACATAATCCAATTGATAAACCAGCAGACTATGATAGAAAGGTGACAAGGGAGGCATATCAGGTTTAGTAAGGCTACAGCAAAATAGATGTACATTTCAAATGGAAATTCTCCAGTTGGCAATGGAACTTGGATCAAAGTTGTAGACAAACAAATAAAAACACTATCCAGGAATAAAAAAACTTATTAAATCAAACAGTATAAGCCAATTCTCTGAAGAAGGTTTACATATTATGTATTAGACAACTATTAAAACAGTATGGAAGAAGTAAACCACATGACAGATGGTGTTCAATTACAATTTAAAAGGGCATATTGCCAACAACTGCTGAAAAAAAGCCTTTAATTAGAGAGTTGTTTATTTGGGATGGATGAAGTAACAGTAAGTGTTTAAAATGCATTATAAAAGGATATATTGCTAGAAACTACTCCAAAAGAATGACACGATTAAGTAACTGATATATTTCTAGAAAACATAGATATTAAATCCTACACTATGATGAATCATCAATTTATAATAAAGACCAATATTTTGAGGATGAGAATACTTTTACTGGCACAAATGAGATAAGAATTTCATTATTTAAAGATTCTAGACCAAGAGTTAAAAGTTTCAATTATGGAAAGCTTGCAAAATGTTCATTAATGTTGGTTCTAAGGCTAAAATTGTTCATCCTGATCTGGTACTGAAAGGTGGGAAATCACCTTCAGAGATGAAAAAAAAAAGATGGACTGATAAAAACAGCAAATAGAGAAAGTTTCAGGAAGAAAAAGTTGGAAGTCAGACTCTCTGTAGGAAGCTTGTCTATACAACATGATGTGTGGGTAACTGATATGGAGGAGAAGTGCATATTAGAAATAGATATCATGTGGAAACATCACATGAGGTTAGACTTGCTTCAAACAGTTTCACAGTCTATGTTCAGGAAGACTATGTGCACTACACAAATATTACAATACCAGGAGTGGAATTTTCAGTGCCAAAAAAAGAGGATAGTTATTATTCCTCTAAGAATAGAAATACTCGTACCATGATTTATCAGGAATAAATTTAAATCTAGTGACTTAGGCATAGTAGAAATAAACCCCTCCACCTTTTTCCGAGTGTTTATTGACTGGAAAAAACCTCTTGTGGATCTAAAGAATAAGGATGTCACAATTATGGTATGAACATAACAAACCATGAATTTAAGCAAATTCTAGACAGAAAATTGCAAGATGTGAAGCTGTACAGTAGACATTCTAGATCAAAAAACATCAGAAATAGTCAACTTTGGAACAAAATGTAGGAAGTCTTATGTCAGATATTTGCACTGACGGAGCTTATCATCTTACTTATAGGAACTGTATGACTGAAGATGTGGAGGTCTTATAACTGATCAATGCCACAGATTACATGTAATCACTCTTGGGATTCTGGAAATCCTGGAAGAACATAGAGCAACAGAACCAAGTACTAAAACTTGGGTATCAACCATTGTACTTGTGATCAAGCAGGATGGATTCACATGTTTTTGTCTAGACCAGAAGGTGAAGGAAGTCACAAAGAAGGATGCATCACCACTGTCAAGGATTGGTTCTAGTAGGTCATCAAGAAATTAATGTCGCTTTTTTTAGATGAAAAAACACGAATAACTTTCATATAAAAACAAAAAATTTATTAAATGAAATAGTCTCCATTCTTATCGATGATGTTTTTCCATCTTACAATCAGGTTGTTAATGCCCTGATTAAAGAAATCCAAAAGAAATCACTTGGCTTTCAAGCAAAAAACATGTTGATGTCCTCTTTAACACCTTCCATATTTGCATACATTTTCCCATTAAGATG